CTGCTTGATGGTATTGTTAAAAAACAGTTTAAAAAACAAGGATACAAAATCTCTCTTCCCTTATCTACAGGATACTATAGAAACAATATGTCTACTTACCCCATTACAAGACTTCTTAGTCCCCAGCAAAGTATATAACTCATACAATACAAGGAAATAAATCTATTCACCAATTAATGTAATGGCATGGTAATCCAAGTATGCCTATCTATTAAAGTGGCTAGCAAATCCCTGTTGTAGACGCATGTCGGAATCATCTCCCCAGGCTTATAGCATCAAGGAATTACCGTCCTGACAAATCGATCATGGTGAGATTTGAACCTGGATCTTATGGTTAGAAAGCAAAAGTTCTAACCACTCAGCCACATGTCTATACAGTTTAATAATAATTTATTCATTTATTTTCTATGGCTTATGAACCCTTTGCAGGTTATTTAAAGCCATAAATTTTTTTACATTGTAAGAATTTCATTTTTAGATAATAATGGCTTAGTAATACAAATCTTACTAATTAACCCATAGCTGGGGGAGAAAAAGTGGATTCATACCTTTCCCAAGGGTATTTGCATGTAAGTGAATATAACAAACCCAACAGGAATTGGAACTTTACTCTCTGATTAACAACATTTGAGTTTACAGCACCTGCCATTCTCAAGCGGTCACCCATCTGGGTACTGATTAGGTTTCTGGGTACTGATTAGGTTTCTGGGTACTGATTAGGTTTCTGGGTACTGTTTAGGTTTTTGGTTACTGATTAGGTTTTTGGGTACTGATTAGGTTTCTGGGTACTGATTAGGTTTCTGGGTACTGATTAGGTTTCTGGGTACTGATTAGGTTTGATGTTGTTTAAATTCAATGACTTTACAGGAACCAGTGTTTCAATGTGATGAAGCCATAAATCTCTAAGCTACTACCACAAAACAGCAAATTGTTACATACTAAATATTTACATTCTAAATAGTTACATACTAAATAGCACATTTGTAATTTGCATAAATACATATTGCTAAATAATATTCCACAAGTGGGTATCATGCTCATTATAAGAATTGTGTTACAGCTGAACCTTTTTGGAATTATTGTAAAGATATCAAAAAATAAAAAAATAATTTGATATTTGTCTTTGTAAAATTTAGGAACAGCACTTTTTAATTTTAATTTAATTTTATTTTATTTGACAATTTTCCTTTACATTTTTAATTTTAATTTTATTTAATTTTATTTGACAATTTTCTTTTACATTTTTAATTTTAATTTTATTTTATTTGACAATTTTCTTTTACATTTTTAATTTTAATTTTCTTTTATTTTATTTTACAATTTTCTTTTACATTTTTAATTTTTGTTTAAATGAGTATCTCTTCAATTAGCGTCAAACTGCAACTTGAAAATTCTAGTCATCAATAAATGGATGAAGTAGAGAAAGAATGTAGAATGCAAAGCTCTTGAAATGTTATGTGTCTTTGGTAAGAGCCACAGGAAAGAAAATTGAATTCTGATCGTGTTGATTTCTTACATTGAATTTCTGAAAATTCAATCTCATGCTATATGGAAATTTCTTAAAAGGAATCTAATGTCATGGGAATTGTTTTACTCAATGTTAACTGATGATGAAAGGAGAATGTATAGAGAACAAATTGAAAACAATAAAAATAAATCCCCATAAAATTATAAATCTAATGTTATCTCAACCCAGAAATAGTGAAGAAAGATGAGTGATCAGTTTTGTAGTTGAATAACATGAACGTTGATTCATCACCACGATTCATCCATGCATTGAATATTACTGCCACACCTGGTCTAGTGCTTCTGCCATGTATTTAGGGATTCTTGCTAAAATGCAAAGAAAAATTTGCAATGTTATTGGTCCTAATCTGACATCTCAGCTTCAGTTACTTTTCCAACTCTTATAACGTAGCTTTTTCTATAAATATTTTCATGGTAATTGTTCTGATAAATTTTTCCTCTATGGTAAATATTGTAAATATTCATTGGAGTTTCATTTTTAAATATTGTTATTTTATTCCTCCCCACACAATGACAATTTGTATATATGGAACTTCATAGAGACTTGAGGTATTATGGTGAATGTAGTTAGAATGGTAAGTAAGAATGTGTTGTTTTAGTATAAGGAATACTGTTGTATGTTTGGGTGAGTAATCATTGCAAGATAAGTTTAAGATAAAACAGATTAAAAACCAGCTTTCCACTATTCCTACTTTTGACCTTGTGCTATATTTTTATATTTGCAAAATAAATATTACTTTCCTCTATGGTACCAAGACTTTATGAATTTAAGTGCAGTACTAGATTGGCAGTTAGGTATCATCATTTTACAATTGAAATTGCTAGATGTAACTGTAAGTTCTATGCTAACAGTTTCTTCTATCACACTTCTTGCTTGTGGAACTCTCTTCCAGCTTCTTGCTTCCCAGTTAACATTGAACTTCAAAAATTTAAATGCAATGTCAATCATTGTTTTCTGCCTTCTTAATTCCTGTTCTTTTATTATTGTTGTCTTAATAATGTTTTCTTTTTCTTATATTCTCTCATGTTCAATAACCCCTTGTGTCTTAGTGGCTTTATTGCCTTGCTTGGAGTGAAATGATTAATAAAAAAATCTTGCATACATGTTTCAAAAATGAAAGTCTACATGTGCATGCATACATACAAAAACTATTTGCATCTTTAAAAATAATATTTGCTATTACTTAAGGGTACACAGCACCCTGATTTTTATAACTTGTTGCAAGCAGTACTGACAAAATGATCTGAGATCATTCATTTTAACTATTTTTGTGCAAATTCTTTCAGAAATGGCATGAACTAAAAATACCCTACCTCAAAAGGCTAAACCACTATAAATTTACATTATATACATTCCAGCTCTGGTTCTTTTATTATATTGTCTTGTCACTTATCCTGAATAGATGTGGATAGATAATTACAATAAGCTATACAATCTCCCCTGTAATTATTACCTAGGTATAACACCAGATTTGATCAAAATGTTGGATTTTTTTCTAAATAAGTATCATTTTTAAAATATTACCTGCCACTGAAAATTTATCTGATTTTATTTACCTGACCTCCCCACAAAGTTAAGATGGTACATAAGGTTGTTTTTTTTTATGTAGAGTGCCCATATGCATACATATGGGCCAAGGATAAGAATTGCTCAGTCCCTGTAACCACTGTCGGCTGGTATTGATATTACACTGACCCTATCTCTCTTAGTGCAACGTGAAAGGTGTTGCTGCAGGGTTGGAATTCCTGGGACCAGGTGTCTTCTCCCTTGTGAAATGAGGAGAACAGGTATTACACTATATATAATGCCAGGATCAAAAAAAGAAATGGTGTGAAGAATTTTTAATCAGCACCAAATGAGGTAAAGGATATTAAAATAAAATGTTTCTATTTGAAATTTTTAAAGAGTTCTTTAATACACATAAAAATTAATTTTTTCTTTATTTATCTATTTACAGCACTGTTTCACACTTAGCAATTTTTCAAAATTGGTGGCTGTTTTTAATAGTACTCTTGAGATTTGTTGTTTTCATATTTTTTATTTCAAACTGTCAGCATACTGATTTATTCCTTAAAAAATCATAAAAAGGACAGTAGATCTTGGGAATGCTATTAAAAACAACCATCCATTTTGAAAAATTGCAAAGTATGAAGTAAAACAAAAAAAATGATATGTATGAAAAATTATAGATATATATATATATCCAGGGGTGCCAGCCTAAATTACCAGGAAATGGTTCTATAAAGGCAGGTAATCTTTAGGATTTATTTTCTTTTCAATCTGACAATGGAAACAAATCACTCTATGGTATCAAAAAGAATTAAAACATTTTGACAATTTAATAGAAAACATTTATTTATCAAGATATTTCCAGATTGAAATTCTGTTCTCATCATATTTCTTTTCAGAAGTATATTGCTTTTTGACCCTAATGTCATCAGGTATGTTATGGTTTCTTAGCCACATTCAGACTGAATCGCTGCTGTCCCAAAGATCCAATGAAAGACCTATCAAGTTTAAGATTTGCCACATTTTTAACTTCAAAACAGGGCATGTATCTATTAGAATTTCACTAGGTGTGTGTACGAGCATAATGTAGCTATCATTTTACTTAGACCATCAGCTATTAATATATAAGATTGTTTTCAGATAATTCAGCAACTGGTTTGTTAAGCTTTTATAATTTTAAGAATCAGTTCATGAGAATAGATATATACAGTGGTGGCATCCTACTGATGCAAACCAGCAGGATGACACCACTCTATATATCTATATATAATGCATGCATTTTCTTTCAAACTCAGAAAATGGATGATAACAGTCCCTTCCTGTTAGCTGAATGGAAGAAGAAATTTATTTTTAATGAGAAAATTATTAAAAATTTTATAATTGAAAAAAAATAATGATAAAGAAAAAAAATTTTTGTGACTATTTTCTGAAGTATCTATAAAGGGAATATGGATTATATGAACCAAAAATACTTTAGAAATAAACTTCTGGTTCTTTGTTTAGAGAAACCACTCTGAAATTTCTATGTAGACAATAAATAGCTTAACCTTTTAATGCTGTGTATGTATCTTAAATTCTAACATTATATCTACAAGAACTTTGTTGGAAGATGCTAACTTTAGCACAAGGTCAGATTAAGGAGTTTTGACAAGATTTAATCATATTCAATTTCTGCATTTAATATTGAATTATATTGGTCAATTTTCATATAACTGTTAATATATATTTTTGTTGTTTTTGTTGCTAACTATAAAATAAATGATGCAAGTTTTGTGTCCTAGTCAGAAGTTTAATCAAATTTATATTATCTACCTACTATTGACTTTAATTTGCCGCATTTAAAAAAAATTAAATCCAAGTAGTCAACATTCCTCTTCTGATATAAATAATTTTAAATCACTTTATTTTATTTTTTTTTTTAGCTTGTGCACAAGGGTTTGTGGGGATGCATGAAGAGACATAATCATGTGACCAATTCGTTGGTTTCCATTGTTGCTGAGCTGATCGTGCTTCGACGAAAGGCATTGTCTTCTGCAGCAATTTGTGGTGAATTCACCATCAGTTGTGAGACGGCATTACCAAATACAAAATATCCAAGTGTGGTGCCTGTAATGACAAATAGAGCAGATGGCATTCTCAATTTTAAAAATATGTATGAATTTATAATATATAAAATTAGTAATGTTTTGCGGAGTTGGAATTCCTGGGACCAGGCATCTTCTCCCTTGTAAAATGATCAGATAGCATTTTGGATTTCAAAAAATCTATGGGACTATAATATATAAAATTATTAATGTTTTGTGGATGCATGGTGGTGTAATGGATAGTGACTCAGGATTAGAAATTGGAGAGCCAAGTTCAAATTCCAGTCGAGCATGTTACATTCACTTGTTCACAAATACTCTTGAGAAAGGTATGAATCCATCTCTTCTCCCTCCAGATATGAGTAAATAGCAAGACAGACTGGGCCCAATAGCCTTGGTTGGTAACTAGTCTAGAAGAAGAAAAATTTTGAATTCAAACCAGCCTGAAGAGGTTTAGGCTTCATCAGGCATTCTTGCCCAAGACACACCACTGCTTCTATGGCTACAGTACATGTGCTGCTTGTTTCTTATATGGTTGAGGGACTTGTGATTGTGATCATGAATGTTTTTATATGAAATGTGTGTGTAGCACAAATGCTATTTGAGCAAACAGTAGAATTGATGAGCCAGGTTCAAATTGTCAGGCTAGTCTGTTGCATTCACTTTCACACAAAGGCCCTTAGGAAAGACAAGGATCCATCTCTTCCCTCTGCCACCAACTATGGGTTAAATAGTATTGTAGACTGGATGTCAACGAGTCTGAGAGAAGAAACACTTTGAATTTAAAACTATGAAGAATGCAACTACTCCACTATCTTTCCTAATAAGTGATGGCAATTCACAGGTAATAAAGAAAAGGAAACTGTGGTGATCCATGATCACCTATGCTCTGAATGAATATGGCATTTTCAAAAAAAGGTCTTTATTTATTTATTTTTTCACTATGGTGGCATAGTTGATATAGGCATTGGTTAAAAGTATTACTGTCATCTAGTGATTGTAAATTCAGTTCCTGCATCAGGTAATAAAAATAACATGCAATGGTTCAGGAATGAACAAGAACTGGCTTCACAGGGATAAAATTACACAATAATCCATGGGACAATGGCCTAGAGAATAAAAGCATTGATTTGTGAATTTGGTTATAATAATTTGGTAACAATAATCCCTGAACTGAGCAGTGTGTACTTGGACTCAGTTGAACTAGCTAGATGCAACCATATGTTCTATTCTGATAATTTCTTTTCTTGCACTTCTTGCTTTTGGAACTCCCTTCTCATTTCTTGCTTCCCTGCCCCCTACAATCTTCAATGCCAATCGCCATCTTTTGTCTTCCTGAATCCTGTTCTTTTATTGTCTTTTCTCCATATTAAAGTCTTCTCTTCCACTTTCAGTAACCCCTTGTGTCCTAGGGGTATTATCACCTTGCTTAGGGGTGAAATGATTAAAAAAAAAGAGAGAGAAATACCAAATGATCTTAGTTACTTACCGAAAAGTACAGCAAGAGCAAACCAACCATTAAAAGTCATAACGATTAACATAATAATGTAACCAAGCACATTGAGTAACATGTACATGGCAGTCTCTCCAGCATAATAGAAGGAACTGAAAATATAAAAAAAAAAGAAAAGAGAAATGTATTAAAAAATGTTTTGCCATCAATATTATTATTACTAGTTTGGTACCTGTTACTTTGTTGATGGCAAGGTAACCAAATTCAAAATTTAACTTGTTTGTCCATTTAAAATACTAGATTTATTAGAAAATATATTCAGCTTAAATACAGGAATCATAACAATGACTTCAAAGAGTGCACATTTTATCTTATACTCTTTTCCTGTTTCCAGAGGTTGTTACCAGACAAAAAGGGAAATTAACCCTCAAGACACAGATGTCCATTTCACTTTCATTCAAATTGTGTGCATATGCACGTTTACATGTGTATATGTATATTTTAATTCAATGACAGACATAAAAAAAATATATACCAAATTAAAAAACAAAATAAAAAAAAAATTTGATTTCTTACCAAAAAGTTGAATAAAATATTATAATTATCTGAACATTGTAAGATTTAAAAAAATTAAATTATTTTATTTTTGTCTCCAAATTCATGATTTTATTTTATTGTCCAGTTCAGGGTAGAGGTTGTCCAGACATAGTGGGAGGGGAATGTATTATTCCAATGGCTTATCTCAAACTCAGTCAAACCAAGCATGTATGTATGGATATGCTTTTGTAATGTAAGCTAGTCATGGAAAACAGACATATGTATATACATTACATACATTTTCATTTTTAATATAGATTAACTCCAGCAGCAGCTGACTTTCATTGTTACTACCAATTAGAACATGAATTTTGCAGTGTTAGTCAAATTTAACTGTGATGACTGGAGAGTATTAATTGTCTCCACTAGACAAGAACACGGGAAGTTGTCCATATTCAGTTTGTGTGATTATTTACTTGAGTATCAACCGCTATGATATAATACTTTACAACAAATTCTTAGTAGCTGCTTTCTATTTTCTTTTTTAAGTTGTCATATAATCAATACTAATTATATAAGAATCCTTTTTCATTAATAATATTATTTTTTCATTATATTTTCTATATAATGATATCACATTGTAGAATATAGAGTTTTTTACAATATACTGAACAATTTTGTATATTTTATAATAATACCCAGTTAGTAACTTTTACCATGGACACACTAAACGATGTTTAGCAAGCTAAAATAGTAAACTATTATTAATGTGCAAGGCTGGATTATCCTTTAGGCTAGTATAGGCTGCAGGTTAGTACCCAGGGTTGGATTATCCTTTAAGCTAGTATAGACTCCAGCCTAGGGTTCCTCAAGTTTTATAAAGCAGTGATTTTAATTTTCTAGATGTTATAACTTCTAAATAGTTTCATAAACTGAAATGATATCAATATGACAAACTCATATTTATTTTGATTGTTTCATTGTTATAATGCTGGTTACCAAAAAATCTGTTTTTTGACTACAGTTGTGTTGAAATATGTGCTAATTTGGTTTGCAATAAATAGTAAAATAGTGGTATTAAAGAATATTTTCATTGACAAAAAAAAAAAAAAGATAGCTATTCTAGTTTATTTACAGAATTTGAAATAAGTTTCCTTCATCACTAAAATATATAATGAGTAAAAAATATTCAAGATTGCAGGTGTGTGGGGAGGTATAATTTTATTAGCCTAGGAGTCCCAGGTGATCATAAACTGGCACTGTTAATGTGCATTGAGTTGAATCCTCACTGTATTCTTAGTGCCAGATTCGGTTTCTTGTAGCTTATTCATAATAAAGACATGTTTTGCAAAAAATTAAAATAATGTTTTACAAAATGTTTCTGCACAGGAAGTCAATATCCTTTATAAAGACAAGAACCCAAATCTTATATCAATCATTTTGAATGTTTCTTATGGAGGATGTATAATTGGGTAGGTATTTTGTTTTCATTGAGTCCAGGGATTGAACTCACAATTACTATGCTACTAAATTCATGAACTAATGTTTTATTCTATGGTGGATTTGTTTTGTTGATGCTTATAGGAGAGAATGAGAATGCAATTATTGTAATTGCCGATATTCTATACAGGGGCAATTTGGGCCCTACTAGTATTCCTGAGGAACTATTTTTGGAATGCATGCGTTTGGCTACAGAAGGTGTGGAGTTCAGCTTTAATGTATGTCCAGATGGATGGGGTTGCGATGGGTAGCCCTTTGGTTCCAGTTTTAGCCAATATTTTCATGGGCTATTATGAATGAATCCTTTTTGATAATGTCCAAAAACCTTGTGTCTATATGAGATATGTGGATGACACTTTTTCCATCTTTGATTCTTCCTCAGATGCCACAAATTTTCTGGCTCAACTCAATTCCCTCCATCCTTCCCTTAAGTTTACAATAGAGGTTGAAAAGGATAGGGCTCTCCCCTTTTTGGATGTCCTTGTTGAATGCAAGGACGGGGCTTTTGTCACTAGTGTTTTCCGGAAGCCCACATTTACTGGACTTTACACAAGTTGGAATTCTTTTGTTCCTAAGTCTCACAAGATTGGTCTGATTTCGACTTTGGTCCATTGTGCTGTCATAATTTGTTGCTCTGAAATGTTGGATGGTGAATTTATTAAAATTTGTAATATTTTCAAAAGTAATAGATATCCTATCAATGTTATCAAGCATATTATTGATAACAAAATCAGGTAGTTTAAAGAGCCCATGGTGTTTGGTCCCAGTCAGTGCCCGGTCTATTTAAAATTACCTTGGTTTGGCAGGAAATGTCTGCTGGTATTGGACAAAATTTTGGCATCCATTTTGTCTACCTATAATGCTGTTAAGTTGCGCACAGTTTTTCATACTAGACCTCTACTTCCATCCTTTACTAAAGACAGGTTGTCTTATTTTCATAAAAATTTAGTTGTTTATAAATTCAAATGCCGTTGTGATGTGGTATACATAGGACAAACCAATCTAAGGTTGGAAATGCGGGTTGCACAGCATGTTCCTGATTTTGTGCATTCAGGCTATAAGAAGAACTACTCAATCAGTCCATGAGTTTGCAATCGGTCAACATCTGCTTGACAATCATGCTTGTGCCTCTGAATACGAAGACACTTGGTTTTCAATTTTCACAGTGCTCACTCAACACACCATCTTCGAGCTTCTGAAGCCGTTTATATTAAATGTTAACAACCTAGCCTGTGCAGACAAAAGGAACACTTCTTATGTTCCTTGCATCTGTTGGAGGGATTGTGAGTTTCCCTATTTTCCATTTTATACTCTTGTGGAATTTACATCCCCCCCTCGTTAAATTTTAATTTTGTATAATTAAAATTTGTCTTTTAGTCGAGTTCCACCTTTCCCTCCTCATTTATTTTATTAAGTGTGCCTTTGTATTCATCTATATTTAATATTTCCAACGTATACCTTTGAAAAAGTGTTGGCCGAAAGGTACCTTAGGTATGACGTGCATTTTGTTTAAGGATATATATATATATATATATATATATATATAGTTAAGTTATGAAAAACTTGATAATCCGTATGGGTAATCCCAAGGAGGATGAAATCCTGAGAGCTCAATGTAAATCCAGAGTTAATATTTAAAAGAAAAACAGACCACTTTAAGGTACCATTATAATAATTTATTTCACCAGAGCCCTTTTAAAGGACGCCGGATCATCAGATAGCACTTCCAAAAATGAAACAAAAAATGAAATGAAAATTGATGGGTAGTGTAATTTTTTGTAATTTAACAGAGTGTGTAAAAGGGGTAGTTAAAGAGACATGGTAGAGTTTAGGGAGGGTTTAATTTAATATCTCTCTCAATCATACTTAGTATAGGGGGAGGAGGAGTGACCAGACCTTGACCTATTTAAACGGTTAACTTAATGGATGTGTGTGTGTGTGTGTGTGTGTGTGTGTGTGTGTGTGTGTGTGTGTGTGTGTGTGTGTGTGTGTGTGTGTGTGTGTGTGCAGATATGTAGAAAAATAGGAAAGAACACGTTAGGTAAATAATCTGGAATTATTTGGTATTTTTATTTTTAAAAAACAGTGCTCCATACAAAAGTAGAGATTACAACGCATTTATGTATTAAACAGCCCTTTAGGAAAAAAATAAAAAAATAAATAAATGAATAAATAAAATAAAACAAAATTCTCTAGACACTTAATGACATATTATGGTGCCAAAAGCTATCTTTTGCTGTGACTGACCAGACGATGTGCGTACATGAATGCCATCATTCACTTTGAAATAGACACCCCGACTCTACCTCGGCTTGACCTCTTTCCGAAGGTGACTGATATGTGGATAAAAAATAACCCCTAATCAAAATGGTTGCCCCAGCCATTACCATGGTAATTAATTTTGCGAATGAACATGCTTATAAAGATGCGTAAATTTCAAGATTGGTTATTCCTAAATTTTCACTTGAGGATGAAACATGAAAATTTTAATAATTATATTGAGGTTTTCGGCTCTCATTTTTGAAACATGAGAACTCTTATGTAGCAAGGGAATCATATTTTTTTAAAAATATATGTGTGTGTGTGTGTGTGTGTGTGTGTGTGTGTGTGTGTAGCCAAATGTAGTAGCCATCACTTGGCCATGTGGTGAAGGAAGGTATGTTTGCTTTCAATGTAGCAAAGACAGATTAGCCATCTAAGATTAGCCATCAATCATTTGCACATCTAGCCAGTTGTGCAAATGACGTATTTTGTCTCTGAGTATGTTTTTGATGACCACATTTATAGATCCACTCTGAAAAGGGCTCTCTCTTTCTCATTGGCTTACAGCCTTATGTCATGTTTGGGAAAGCTTTCTGATTGGTTAGTCAAACTATCTATTTATTTAGAAATGATGAAATTTTGGTCTCCTTTTTCTTTTTTTCTTTTCTTACATCCTGCTTGTGAAAACTTTCTAATTGGTTGGTTTAACTATGGCTTTGTTTGCCTTGTGATTTTTATTATCTGTCTATTTTTGCAGATGGTGAAATTTTGGTTTTCTTGTTATTTATTTTTATTCATTTCTCTATCACTTCAATTCCTCTAGACTATTATCATAATGTAAATAACATAAATA